AATTTGTCATATGCAAATTTTTGGCTGGAAGCCAAGAGGGTGAATAGCGAGGGACAAAGCAGGCGCTTTGTCAGCCTTGAAGTGGGTAGCAGAATAAGTAAGTGGAATAATTGCAAGAGTATTTGTCCGGCACATTCTGACATTTTTGCTGGGCTAACATTTGGCTACGAGCGCACGCATTTGACCGGAACGAGTTATCCTTTTGTGTCCTTCTGCTGTTTTGTTATTGTGCAGAAGCGAAGCCAAACAGTTAGCGTTGGCTTCTGGTAACAGTGTGTTCTGCTTGAAGTACTCTAAATTATTTTTATGTGCACACATAAACTGTGATTGGATTCGGGGCCCAGCCATAAAAACAGCAAATATCGAGCACCAAAGTCGATCACTGAATGGTATTGGCCAAATTCCGATCCTTGTCATTCGTTGCGCATCAAAATCAATAAGCGCATGAAAAGTCATAAACATAAAAATACCAAAACAAAATATCTTCAAGCTGCTTTAAATCCAACAATCTTTGCGCATTATGTGCACTTTCATTTCGCATGCCTAGTGGCGCAGTGGGCCCAGATTAAATACGTATACGCAACGTAAGCATAGACGCCTCACATAAAGTTAAAGCCGTCAAATGGAAAGAGCGGCACACTTATAAAAGCGCTCTCAGCTGATGTTCGACACGTTCCAGGGGCACGTTGAAATTGCAAATGCGTTCATTTGTTGACACGTTGATTGCGTCTAAGCCTCATGCCACAGGGCTCATAATGAGCTTAATACAGACACAGCTCAGGTGGTCAGCTGACCGCTTGCTAGGGTGGTTGAGGCTTGCCGCTGACCATACACATTCACAAAGCCGCAAAGTCCACACAGAGAACGCCAACTTAGCATGCACACAGCCAAGCTAAGGAGATGGCCAAAATAAATCCCAAAAATGAGCCCGGCGAAAAAGTGAATGAAGAAAATAATGCATATGCTAAAGTGTAGATTATAATATAAACCTATTCTTACGTTTATATATACATTCTATCTATAAGTACAGGAGATATTGGTATATATGTAAGTTAATTTAAAGTCATCTATAGTTTTACTCTTTTTCTTAACAATTCAAATTGTTTAAATGGCAATCGGCCATTGAATCGAGTCAGCTGAAGCGCTCGTTATGAATTTGTCACTTCACCGCAAAGGGCGAGTCCGGGATGGTAGATGGTGCAGATGTCACGGACAGCTACATATAAATTTGTTCCATGACGTAAATGCGTGGACTTTCTGGATACAAGCGAATTGGCCGGGGTTCTGGGTATCTCCCAGCCACTCCTGACCAGAACCTCCGAGATCTTTTTTTCTGTGAAAGTTTTGCGCCGAACATATTTTAGTTGTTGTTAAATGTTCTGTTTGTGAAACTTGTACTGCGTGGGATTAGTTGGAAAGATGCTCGTAGTGAATTCAATTATTGTTCGTGGCACAATTCTCTTCAGTTGTATGTCACCTGAAAAGCAATTTGCGAATTTCCGCATAACGCAAATCCGTAGCTTATAGTCACTCTGAAATGCGAGCATTTTTGTTTGACACGCTCTATAGCGACTTACCTGTAAATGTTGTTCTACAATCTCAATTGCTCTATCTCTCTCTCTTTCTTTTATATACTCTAATTAAGTTGTGATCAATGCAAGATCTAAGAGTTACAGCCCTACAAGCTAATTAGAAAAGTTGCAGTAGAACAAGTTTACATAATATCCATTACAGCTAGTTTACAAGTTACATTAACTTCTATTCAGCTCAGTTCCTGCAAGGAGAGAAATACTTTCACGAGCTCCAATTAGTTTTTGTTCAGCTTTTACTTAATTATAGGTAGCTAACGAGGTAATAAAGGTACAATGTGACCAAAGTACCTGTTGACAACTGGAGGTTCGAGCCTTCCGTAAGCCCATTGAAAAAAAAAATAGCAATAGGGTATTTTAGTATATGCAAACTGATATTATAATTATAATTATA